GGGGCCCGCAAGTCCTCTCCTCCTGTGCACTCAGAGTCTTTCAGGAGCTTAAAAGCAATTATTAACGCCTTGAATAAAGGTAGAAAGAGGTGCTTCGCAATTTTAAAAGCAGACAGGAAAAATACGATAATCCAAGAGCCTCTACAACCTAAAAAGCAGAGTTCACCAGTTTTACAATATTTTAGAATGAAGTATCAGAGACACCGGTGACACATTTGTTTCATGGCTCAGAAGAAGGGAACGGCAAGGAGGAATGGAAAAAAAAGTTTTACAGCATTCACTTAACTACTGAATAAAGAACTGAGTCGCAGGAACCACTAGTAAGCTCAGGAGTTATCCACTGCTTTCTGTACGAGTTGTTAGGATGAAGAGAAGTCTAGAAAGAAGCGCTGACTCAGAAAACTGCAATTTATACTGCTTCTGAGAACTTGGAGGATCTTAAGAATTGTACCATTCTAAAAATGCACACCACCGGCAGTGCTCGAGGTACAGGTAGGCAAAGACCAACTTTTTAAGTTAACTTGATAGTATCATAGAAACAGACCTGAAAAAATTAGCAAGTTAGAAGAGAGGTGACAAAATGAGGACTAAGATATTAATAAACCAGCATGGGAGCAGGACAGACATATATACATTGTCTGTATAGTTTTCCAGAAGTTGGAAGATGTACACAGTATTGACACCAATAGCTTGACAGGCTGAACTTCTATGCTGTAAGAAAATTACTACCATCTTGGCTGGAAACATTTACAGAACTATATGCATATAAACCAGAGATCAATAACCATGAGCAACTTTAGAAGACTTCTATAAAGTATCTTTAATGACTTGGTTCATGCCATTTTAAACACAGTCATTTTCAAGAAGAAAAATCAATACATTTTTTGTATTGACTTTGCTTTCCCATTTCTGTTCCCATCTTTGCTAATGGTTGGGCATCTACAGTATGTACAGTCTGATGCCTGGGAAGATATATTGAAAATTAATCCCAAGTTTCCAACTTGCTAATTATAGCGCACAATTATTGAGGTCTTCCCCCACCATCCCCCTACCTCAGTATAATAACAAAAATCAAAATCTTTCTCTGAAAGCGCCCCAAAATGCCAAAGATGTTATTAGCAAAGTGTTTCTCTAATCTGTGTATATATATATATGGCCTGTCAAACTTTAAAAATTCATACGCAATCATGCAAATGATGGAGAAAGTCACTGGAGGAGGGCAGCTATCGTAATTTGGAGAGCTGCATAACCTATCCCAATTTGCCATGGGAATCTTTATTATACTACTGTCCTCAATCTTTCCTGAGGAAAAAACACTTTATTGCATCCTAGTGAGATTTCTGCAGGTAGGTGTACATGAGAAAAAAATTTTTGTTCCTATTTCTCATGATCCAAGCTGCATTTACTCACCTTTATTAAATGAAGAATCTCTGCAACTGAGCTCAGTAAAGCGTCATTTAACCAGAAATCTTGTCTTCATCAAATGCTTTGAGTTCTAAATAACTAGATTTGGTCTACATTTGACAAGGCCACACACAGAGTCCTTTTAAAGGAAGATGCCATATGATCTCAGCTAGGTAACTGGATTCTCAAAACACATCCCCATCTCTTAAACCAGACAAGAAAATGGGCATGACAAAAATCCATGTTATACAATACGCTGTATATACAAATTGAAAGACGGCATCTCCATTTTTCATATGACTCAGTTTAACAAGATTCAGTAAAACATGGAAGCAAAGCACCAATAGCCATCTTTCCCCAAGTCCTTGAAGAACGTCTCAGCATTTCCTACAGGTCTTCAGGTCTCTAAAGTTTCTTCGTTTGCCCCACAAGTGTCTACAACACAGATTAAACAACTCGTCACTGGGAAAGCACGGACTTTGGAGTTGGCTATCCACTTGTCTGTCTCAGTATTATATTCAAGAATGTGCCCTAATCGACCAACACCCTGAAAACCAGCTAGGACATAGACTATAGATCCCACAGCAGCACACTTCACTGTTACACCTTTCCATGGCATTGGAGACACCATCTTCCATTCATTCATCTTGATATCGTAATACTCTACATTATCAAGGCCACCTACAAAGCAATGAAATAGATAATTGCTTATTACATTATACCATACGGACTGAACTAGAGCATACAAATGCTTCATTAAACTTAGTCTTTATTTTCAAGGTTTAGATTAAAATATAAATCCTAGAGTAAAAAAAAAAAAACTTAAAAAAAGGCCACAGGCTTCTAAACTAGCTGTTTACCCTTTATTTATAAACACAGAAACAGAGAAAAGTAAAAAGGAGACTGAAAGCGAGATGTGTTGTAACAAACTTCAGATTATACGCTTTCTAGAGATTCTAACATGTTAGTTCATGAACAGAAGAATTAACAATGCTGAATTTCTTACAGATTTGTGGCCAGTGACAAACTCGAAAGCCACCTGAAACCTCTCTATATCAAGGGCATGTTATTGTAGAGCAGTCACCAGTACCTTCATCTAAATTGGTCATTTACTGGTAGAGGATGTCTCTCTTCATTACAATATGAAAATCATTGAAGTTTAAAAGCCCAAGTTCCTTTGAAAAGGACCAGGGAATCAAAAGTTATCAAAGGAAAGTAGATTTTGTGAATAAGATTTATTTCTTCAGGAAACAGGCTACTTTACAGTATCTTTACAACTACACTTTACAAACATTCTGTTATCCCTATTTAACAATAGTAGTACCACAGTTTTCACTTCCAGTCATGAATTATTACATCTGAGAGATTAAGAAACCTTTCTGTTATGTTAAGAGGTACAACTATTTCACCCCAGACATAACTCTTCTCTGTTGTTTGTGAAAAAAATGCATCTACTGATATTTTTGCATTAGAATCACAGAGTGGTTTGGGTTGGAAGGGACCTTAAAGTTTAATCATCTAGTTCCAACCTCCCTGCCATGGGCAGGGACACCCTCCACTAGATCAGGTTGCTCAAAGCCTCATCCAACCTGGCCTTGAACACTTCCAGGGATGGGGCATCCACAACTTCTCTGGGCGACCTGTTCCAGTGCCTCACCACCCTCAATGTAAAAAATTTCTTCCTTATACCTAATCAAAATTAGGAATCAATCATTCTGGAATAGTTTTAGTAGCTAATTAAATACAAGCTATATTCTAAAATAGCATTACTCTGAAATAAAAATATTCTAATTACCATAATGATTAATAAACCTAATTGCTGAGAATTTTCCATTTTGAAAAGCACATCAGAAACCCTGTGTAATTAAAATTCAATTCTCCTGGGAAATAAACTATTATTGTTTTAGTTTTAAAGACAAGGAAATAGGCAGATCATAAATGACCTGCCCATGGCAGTAAGTCATATTTCAAAACTAGGGCAGTCTCATCACTTTAAAATAGCTGACTAGGTTTAAGTCTTTAGACTGAAGTTCCCAAAAGAGCTGCTATACCTTTACCTGTCTCTTAAAAGAATGCTAAAAATCTCTCAACATACATAATGAAGAACTAAAAAAAAATAAAATAAATCTTTCCTCAGATGACTGGTTTAGCCACATTAGCTACTGCAGAACTGGGCTACTGTACGTGCACATATCTGAATTTGACGAGTTTTGAAAAATAAGATACAGTGAAGTAGCGGGGTGAAAGAAGGAAGGCAACAATGATGTGACAACAACAGGACATGTTTTATGGTACTGCTCAAAGTTTTTCAGCTGCACAGAGTAGAATGAATTATTTGCAAAAGAAGAAAGGCCCCAGGAAACCTTGTATGATCAGCTAGAGAATTAATAGAATTATAGTACCTAAGCCATTTTGTCCACCCACAGCAAATATTTTGTCCTTCACAAACACCAGCCCATGATTCTTCCTGGCTTCAATCATTGGACACAGCTCAGTCCACCTGAAGAAAAAGAGAATCAAACAAAATAGGAAAACTCACTATTTAGGTCCTAGAAAATAAGTATGAAATACGTAAATAAAAGTGAAATGAAATATGGAAGAAAGCTGCTTAAGAAAAACTGCCTTTTAAGTAAAACTACAAATAACTGATTTATTACTGCTTAACTTGGGGAAGTTCCTTACCACATACAATTCTTCCTATTAATCTATACTTCAGTTATTTACAGTGCAAGCAAAGCCCGAAGTCACCAAAAATAATTGGAATTGATACAATACTTACGTTTCAGTGGCTGGATCATAAACTTCACAGGAATTTAGGACTCTTCCAGAAACATTGTTTCCCAAGCTTCCTCCGCATACATAAATGAGACCATTAGCCTCTACCATTCCGTGGCTGCATCGCTGAGTCAGCATGCTAGGCTTTGTGTGCCAGCTTTCTGTTCTCGTGTCATAGCATTCAAATAAATACAGTGCAGAATTTCCTTAAAAAAATAGAAACCCACCAAAGTAGCATTAATTTTTAAGGTTGTCTTTCATGAGAAGAGTCTAACAGTAATTATCAAATTGATGCTTTATTTGTTAGTTGAAAAGGGAAAGCTGCTTTCCCACCTCCAAAAGCAGAACTAGCCAACGTGAAACTTGGGACTATTCAGAATTGTAATTCTTTTGACTCCTTTGTTCCAAAATACGCAAGTAAGTTTATAAAATTGCTATTCGTATTTGAAAACAAATTATAAGGTTGGTTTTTTTTCGGGGGCATGGGTGGGTGGGTTGGAATAAACACTGAACAGAGATGTACATACATTACTGATCATATTGTCATCATCTCGCACTACTCTCACTACTTGGAAATATATCGAACTGTCAGATGTGAAGATGAAACCAGCTTCGTAAACTTAGTACAGATTTACATTAAGTCTTTTTTCTCTAAGCAATGTGACTTGCCCAGTTCCCAGAATACTTGTTGCCTTTGCAATTAGATAGCTTGATTATGTTACAGTGTACTCCTGAATTATTAAAAATCACAAGATAGCTACCCCTCACCATTTTACTTCCTTCCTGGGGACTGGCAGATACTTATTTTCTGGAAGTGCAAGGTCTGTGTACTCCTCCCTCAAAGGCCAATAAAACTATTATTGAAATTAAAAGGAATTTTTCTTCTGAAAATAGATGGGAGCTGAAAGACTTGTGCTCAGGTAACTAGCTGAACCGTGGCCAAAGCAGAGAACGCTGGATACAACTTTCTTAGAAAAGAACCAGCGTCCTTCTCCCCTTTGTTTCAACAGATCTATTCACCTAGAACAGTTAAAGGTGCCTTTTCTTGTGCCTCTTTTTCCCTGGCTTTCTGCTTCCAAAAATTAAGTGTGTCACACTAGCAGCACTCACTGCCAGCTGGGGATTTGAACCCTCAAAACAGTGCTACGTTTGCAGACCCAAAACACAGGTTGTTTACTCCTACCATGTAATTCTCAGTATCACAAAAAACTGTATAGAATGGGGCATATTTTCTTCCTTGGTGTAAATACACATCCTTATTGCTTTGAAATTGTAGAAATTCTCATCCACAGGAAATACAGCAGAACAGTCTTAATGTCTTTTTTTTTAAAAAGGAAAAGCTTCCATTTTCAGTATGCTGTCAGTATAATGTTAAATATTTCTCCTGGACCTAAATATAGTGGAAGAATTTAGTATGTTTAGCTTTCAAACTCTGCTAGCTGTTACAAATAAAACTACTCCCATCAATAGAAAAAGGGGAAACAAACAAGTCATGTTTTCTGTAATGGACTGTCACAGAAATTTGTTTTCCAAACTCTTCAATCAATGCAAAAAGCAAGCAATTTCTAGATTTTCCTACAGCTAAACACACTGCAGCATTTTCTCCAATTAATGGTTTCACATAATTGCCTGCTGCAAATTATAAAATACTAGATTCAGGACAGATAGACTTTTCCAAACAAGCAGTGTTCACTGGATTCCAAAGATTATTTTTTTTTTAAAAAAAAATACAGGCAAAATAAACTGTTTTGGCTTTTACTATTTTGTCTTGCATAATACTTATGGAAAGCAAAGTAAAACTGTGCAGTAACGTCAGCACAGATTTAAAAGAAAAATTCCTAAATTACAGTTATATTAACTAATTACAATGTATTAGAAAATAAACTATACAATCAAAGTTTGCATCATACTCCCTCATGAACTGACCCGTGAGGAACTAGGAAGATTTAGGCGATTTTGTAGTGTTCCAAGTTTCCCAAAGCAGCCTCAGCTAAGCCTTTTTAAAGGGATGAGAAAGGTGCCATTTCACACCGACCACACTAGGTGGCAGCTGGGAACTGTCTCATCTGCTGCTCTAGTCGACCTCTTGAAGCATTCCAGAGGTCAGGTAACACTACCTAAACCTCACAACTTCCCAGCAACGTTAAGCATCGATTATGACCTCTTCTTCCTCTGCAGCAAGGCAGAACTCAAAAGGATCTACTAGAAAATTTCTCGCTGGCTTTAGTGTTTAGTGGGTTTTTTTGGTTTGGGTCATACCTCCCAAATACAGATTTCTTTGAAGCTCTATTTTTATGGATACAGCATACCTGCATTCCAACTTTTGGTTTGCTGACAACGTGATTTTTGATTTAGAAAAAAACATTTTTACAATGTTGCTATAACACATAGCAAAAGTCATCCACGAGGTTTCTTGGGGAGAGAAAAAAGCCCCAGTGGTCTTTTTTTTTTTTTGTAATAACATCAAAAGAAAGTAGTATTTCTCCATTTACTCAAGCAAACCAATAGAACAACAAACTAATAGAAGATAACTTTTGTCAGTTGACAGAAAAATGGGACAAATTCCTTTACAGGGCCAGGTATGATTGCACCACCAAAAGCTGTACTTTGAAAAGCTTTTCTTCACTCTTCCCCCTCGCCCCTTAAAAACACTCACTGGGCCCAACATCTGTGGTACATCAGGA